AAGTATGCATAGATTATTGTTACATAATTCTAAGCCGTTCACTGAAACGGTACACTTTTCACCGTCACATGTTTTCCATGTACCTATTTCACAATATGATTCCGACACTTAATCGAGTTAGTYGTATAATAATACTTGATATCATACGATATTATATGTATAAAGCTATTTGTATAGAGGTACCTATTCTTACTTACATATAAGAAGATTTTTTTTTAAATAAACGATTAGAAAAAAATAGTGTTAATGTGATTATAACTGATATAGTAACTATCAAATAATAATACATTATAACACTAACCTATATAATATATGTATAGTGTATATAAATAGGCACTATATGTGCCACTATAGGTACACAAAAATGATAAATTATAACGATTTCAGTTGCTGCCTTGTTGTTATTATCCATGGTTTTTTGTTGCGTAATATTAATGTTCGTTTCTAAAAATATTTTTTGTCAGGCTATATTATAAAGAAAAAATAAAACCAAAAACTTACTAGGTACCTACTACCGATTATTATGTTACGTATGAAAACAATTTTACTCGTTATTTATTATTATTATTATTTTTTATAGATATCCTCTTACGACGAGAGACGAGAATCATTCAAACAGTCTTACAGTTTGCGAAAGGCATTACACATGGGTTATTTCGTTTGCGTTCGCATTCGATTCAATAATACGAGTCACGAGATTAGTTTATTATAGGTGCTGTACTGCTTTATAAATTGCAACTACTTTCGAGCATATATATACGTATACATGTAAATATATATACCATATACGTATATACAATTTACGGAAATTCATACCATTCGACATACGTCCATATTCGATATACCTTATAGGTACATTGGTAAATATAAAATGTGATAATCCGGGTTTCCAGTCGTTCTTTTGACTTAGACMGAAAAACAAAAAATAACTGTTTATTACCCTACATGTTTTATACATAATACAATAAAGTACATATTTTTATGTTTTATAGTACAGGATGATGTAAGTTCTATCTTGTAAGCATAATAGTATGTATAGATGACCATTTCGTGAAATGGAAACACGTTTTTTACACTTTGTGAACATTAAATTTTAGACTACCTTTAAAACAAACACATCTTTTAGTTTGACAAACATTTTTACACAAACAACTTAACGGGAACGTCAAGTTTAATTACTTATATATCCATATTAACCTCGAGCCCATGTCAAATAATATAATAAATGTTTAAATAATATCTAAATTATTCTATACGACTATTATACTGCAATCACCAGACTATCTGAAATGTGTTGATGATATTTATTGGTTTTAATAAAATTCATAATCATAAAGAATTAACCTTGCGTGAAACCGTCCAAATTTTATCTGGAGGTCAGGGATTTGTAAGTTGTTCGTGTAAAAGTGTTTGTCAAACCAAAACATGAGTTTATTTTAAAGGTAATCTAAAATGTAACAGTCGTTGTCACAATTCATTTTCCTGCTCTAATAAATAAAAAATGTTCACAATACGGTTAATAAGTTAATATCATATAAATAAACTTTATTACTATACATAATTATTTAAGTTAAACCTATAAGGGTAGAATAAGTTGTTAAATGTTGTATTTCAGTACACAAAGTGAACGACCACTTTGTRAAAAAATTACACGATGTTAAATTTGAGTGACCATTTCGTGAAATACTTTTGAATTTCACAAAGTGTAAAAAACKTGTTTCCATTTSACGAAATGGTCATCTTTTCATGAAAAGATCGATTTCACGAAGTGGSTACGACATATACATAAATTTAGAGCAAGGATTTGTTTGAATTTAAAACAAACCACTTATAAGATAAAAAATCTTAAATGTGCATAAATGTATGCTCCAAAATGTTCAAATATACATRAAAAAAATTTATTTTCTGAAAATGTAATTAAAATAATAAATTTAAAATTATGGAATGCTATTTTCTTTAAAATATTTGTGTTTTGTTGGTAGTTTTAATCAATAAGAAAATATTATTAAATAAGAAATATATTTGGGATGATCATTTATACCTAATTATGTCATTAGTATTTTTAATCTAAAAATTATAAAATTATAATTTTTTATTTGCTATATTACAATAGTAATTATGTCAAAAACATATAAAAAAAACAAAAGAGCACTGAAAATGCACTTAAAGATGGAATATGCAATCAAAAGCATAAAATAAGCTCTTAAAATAAAAATAAAAATAGATAAATATCGAAATATGCATCATAAAAGTTTCATTATTTAAAACGTTATGTCATGAAACAAATGTTGTGCTCACTTAGCATATCATATGATCAACCAGGATAGGTTGCAAATATGCATACAAATCCACGCTCCATACATAATTTATAGAAAGCAATAAGTACCTACATTTTTCGTTAAAAATACAGCCACACAGCGG